AATAATAATAATAATAATAATAATAATAATAATAATAATAATAATAATAATAATAATAATAATAATAATAATAATAATAATAATAATAATAATAATAATAATAATAAAAGTGAGTGGCCATTTAATAGGGTTGGAGGTTTGAAAGTAATTTGGGTATTTAGAACTCAAGAGCTCAAATGTCATGAGGGTCAGCCCCATATAATTCCAAAGAGCCCTGAGGTCCAAGTCCAAGCCACATAATCACACCCAAGATTTCCAGATGTTAGTGTGTAAGTGACGGAAGACCTCACAAGGAAAGAAATCAAGGAGGTTGATGAAGATTCGGAATTTTCCAAAACGAGAGAAAATCAAGCAACCATAATATCTATGCCAATGTGATCCACATATTTAGGGGGTCTCGAAAGAAAAGAATTTTAAAAGAGTTGACATTTGGCCATTCAATGGCTAGACCATGAGCCAATGGGTGCCCTATATAAACCTCACCAAACAAAGGTAGAAGACACACATCATCAGACACACAAACCTATTTTTCGTTTCGCACTTTTCTTTTTCTAGATTTAGGGTTTTACTTTTCAAGCACCTAGTGTAGCGAGTTCTTCATTTTTTCTAGTGTAAGTTTAAATTTTGTTCAATTTACACTCCTTGTCTTTTAAATTCAAGTTTATTTCAATTGTTTTACTTTTCATTGCTATCGCACTTTCATTAAGTTTAATTTCAAGTTTAATTTAGTTTATCGTTCTTATTTCGTTCTTGTTTATTTATCACTTTGATCTATTTTATCATAATTTAATTATCGTCTTTACATTATTTATTTTACGCACTTTACTTTACGCATTTATCTTTAAATTATATTTAAATTTAAGCAGCTTTACTTTACGCACTTGTTCTTCGTTTCATTATGTTCACCTTCAATCTTCATCTTCACCCACTCCGCGTCATTTGGTTGCTCACGTAAAGGCTTGACCCCAAGGTAGTGAAAGAACCTAGGCCGTGAGGAGGTTCTTTGCTCGGCCGAACAATCGTTTGATTAAAATCAGATCTCGGACACAACATACACTTACATTCCATTCAAGCCAAATTCGTGGCTTGGTGGTGGCATGCCCCGCACTCAAAAAAGAAGAAGGACCAAAAGTTCCTTTCGTCGGTTGCCTTGGCCGAAAAGAGGGAAACAACATTGCTTCATCACTCTAGCCTGTCTGGTACTAGCTTCATCCAAAAGGAGCAGATCATCCGCAAAACACAGGTGGGAGATCTTAGGGCCATTTCTAGAGATATTGACAGCTCTCTACTCATTCTTGACAGCAGCCTCACTAATCATGTGAGAAAGCTTCTCAAGACACACCGATAACAAATACGGTGAGAGGGGATCCCCCTGTCTCACTCCTCTTGCAGGAACAAAAGGCGGGGTAGCTTCACCATTCACAAGAATTTGGAACTGAACCGTGGAGACACATTGCATGATCCGTTGGATTGTAGACTCATGAAGATTGATCTCTTTGAGAACATACTCCAGAAAATTTCAGTTCACTCTGTCATAAGCTTTAGAGAGGTTCCAAGCGATAAAACCTTTTTTCACTCAAAGAGAAACAAACTTACTCTCTCTCTGTCTCTCTCTGTCTCTCTCTCTGTCTCTCTCAGGTTCTACATTTCTCAGGAAGCTATTAACTTGGTTATTAAATGGTTCCTTGGGGTTAATATTCCAAAATAGTTTAACATCCTTTCCTGCCTTAGCAATCATATTTCACACACTAATGCATGTTTTTCAGCTTGATGTGGTATTAGAACTTCAATATTACAGAACCCTTGGTTCATGCTCATCACTGAACCTGAAACCTAGGAGTTTTTGTTTGGGTTGGGAACAAGAGAGCTGCATAAAACTTTTGCTCATCATCAAAGCTAAATGTGTCATCGTAGTTTGAGCATACTTCCTACTCTCTATATCATTGCAGACACATAAGACTTTCAGTTTTAACTAAGAACAACTAAAAAGCCCACATGAACTCCTTTGCTAGAAATTGCTGAAAAAGAAATTGTAATCTTCATTAAGCAGGCTTACATAGGTAAATAAATTGTGTAGCTCTTATTGTTGTTATTAACTGTTAAATTAAAATCTCCATGTCATCCTGTTTTTTTTAACTGTTTGGCAACACCACTTTGCCATCCATAAACTATAACTATTCTTCTCCCTAAGGGAATTTTACTAGGAAATTACCCATCTGGTATGTAAATCATGTTTCAGAGTTCACATTTAAACACAACCTTTAAACTTGGACAATAAATTATAGGACCGTTGCCAACGACCCGATGCCATCTATAACAAGTGTGGCCTGAAATGTTCTTGAATTTAGAAAGCAAATTTAAAAAGCTCCATTACTTAGCATGTAAGTTATGTTTCAGAGTTCAATTGGGAAAAATTATGCTATCGTTGGCAACGGTCCCTTGCCATCTATAACAATCCAGGCTTGAACTTTTGTTGAATTTAGGAAGCAATTTTATTAGCTTCACTACTCAAAATGCAAAGGATGTTTTTAAATTTCAAATCCAAACATTAGGAAGCAATTGAATAAATTATGTGGCTGTTGCAATGGTCCCCTACCATATTCGATATCTACCATTTTTATCATCTATGACCTGAAAAGGCATAACAGGGCAATTAAGCTAACTCTAGTATAAATCTGCTCAATTGTTCAAGTTATCCATCATTGTGTGTTTGCTAAACCACAGCCTTATTCAGGACAATAAGAAATATGGCCGCGGACCCTTCCCAAAGGATGCTAATCACTAATAAGGGACCATGTGTCCGCTACATTGCTTGGATGAATGATTTCTGGAAGCTCAGCTTCACAGGTCATTACAAGCACGAATCAAAGACTGCTTCAGTCGGTTGCATTATGAGAGATCACAATGCTGTATTTAAAGCTGCCTTTGCGCAACATGTAGGCATGGTCAGCAGCTTTACAAGGGCTCAGTTGACTGCATTCAGCCGGGCCCTTGAATTTGCTAAACGTGAAGGTGTCGATTACCTTGAAATCGAAGGAAATCATCCGTTTGTGTTTCGGATGATGTGGGGCAACGTCATCAGAACTAGCTCTATGATCAGGGGGCTTGTTAATAAATGCAGATACTAGGAGTGTGAGGCTCCAACATGTCAACATGTATGGAAATTTGGATGGGAACTTGCTCGCGAGAATTCCTTTGCAGCCTCAACAAGAGAGGTCAACGGAGCCATTTTACAAATAATCTCTCACGGATTTATTGGCGCTGCGCTTTTTTTCTTGGCCGGAACGAGTTATGATAGAATACGTCTTGTTTATCTCGACGAAATGGGCGGAATGGCTATCGCAATTCCAAAAATATTCACTACTTTCAGTATCTTATCAATGGCTTCTCTTGCATTACCGGGCATGAGCGGTTTTGGGTAAAGGGGAGGTAATATTTATCCTTAAATATTAATCTGTATTGACTATAAATCTCAATGACCAAGAATTGGAAATTGATACGTTAAGTAACTGTAGAAGATATGAACTGCCATAGAAAGATTTTTTTTATGAATTGTTCATGTTCATTTAATTAATTTCAAATAAGTCGTATCTTGCTCAGACCGATAAATAGAGCTGAGGTGATAGTCAAAGCTGCTAGTAGAAAACCAAAATAACTAGTTATAGTAGGCATGAAAAGGCTAAATGAAATATGTTCTTTTTATACATATGTTTATAAAGCACTTCCCTAAGTTTCAATTTTTGAAAGATACGACTTTTTGTTAAGTAGGAGTTTGCACGTCTTTTATTTTCAGAAATGAAATATTTTGGATTAGTAATGATTGTGAAAAGCCTTTGATTTTTCTAATCTCTTCCTTAAAGTATTAAGATGTGTGAACATGTAACTACTAAGAACGAAAGTCATCTGCTTAATCTCACATTTAATTTTCCTTTTCTTCCTTTGTAGTTTAATTGTATTCGCTGACCTTTCCGATACTAACCATGACCCCTATCTGTCAAAACCAAGTTCAAATAAGGGAGAATTTTTAAGGGGATAGATTGATGACTTTTGGGGGAGTTTTTTCTTAGTAAAACTTTTGTGGTTTTACTCAATAACCAAGTTACTTTTTTTACTCGATTTGCATTTTGGCCTATTTTGTCTAGAACCAATTACGTTTGACAGTGAAACCAATTACCAAATATTTCTTAGTATAGCAGTACTTCTCTTCTCAATATTAAAAGAGAGCCGAAGTTTGAATCCCTTCCCTATAAACCAAAAAATGATTATTCCTGAAGCACTAACACTTTCTCAATACTAAGCGTATGATATGCGAATTTACTTACTGAATAGGATCTTGATTTCTTAAGAACAAAAATGGAAATTAAAAACCCAAAAAAAAAAGAAAAAAGAAGAAGAACAAAAAGTTAGCTGAGAGATTATCTGGGCGTTAGTGGGCCAAATCAATGATATTAGATTATTTTGGGCCTGGCCCCCGATATATCTAAAAAAAAATTGGTCGGACACATCACGTTTGTTTTTGGCCGTTGGACATCATATTCAGATGTTATTATAGTCAAAAGACTTAAAGAAAACACTAACACCCAAGCCAACGGTAACTTTCTTGTCTCCGTCTTCTCCTTCCCCTTTCTGTCTTCCCCTTTGCTGCTCCAAATTCCAATTAAAACCCCAAAACCAAACTTCACCAACACAAAAGTTCTTAGCTTTACATCACAAATGGCATTAAAAGAAGCAGCTTCACTCACTTCACTGAAACAACAAGAAGAAGAAGAAGAAGAAGAAGAAAGAGAGAGGTTCATAGTTTTGAGCAGCACTTGCAAAGTGGTGGAGTATTTGCAGCCAGTGATGTCAAAAGAGCTTCTCTGCAAGTTTCCAGACAACTCTGCTTTCGATTTTGACTACACTCAGAGTTCAATATGGTCCCCTTTGGTCCCTCGGGCTCATGCTCCCATGGATTTGGACTTGGATTTCGATTTCATGACGCCAAGGAAGCTCAATTTCGAGATGGGGTTGGAGTTGGAAAGTCAAAGCAGTATCAAGAAAGTCAGTTCTAGTATTAAGAAGAAGATCTCCACCGCTGGATTTAATATTAGCAGGAGTGCTTTGAAGAACAAGATGATGAAGAAGAAGAAGAAGAAAAGCAAGATGGCATTGACTTCTGATTTCTCTCCAACTCCTGTTAAGGTTCATTGTAACCCCTTAGCCTCAAAGGTACTGCCTTTTTCATCTGGGTTCTTAGATCTTTCTGTTTATTTATTTATTTTATATACATGTTTTTCTAAGCTGGAAGAATCTGGGTTAGAGCAGAAGGTTAAGATCACTGAATCTGAGATTACCCTTTTGAGATTTTCTCTGAAAATGATCACAATTTACAAGCGGTTTGAAGTAAAAACATGAAATTTTTGGGGAAAGAGATGAGAATTTAAGGCAACCCATAAAGATGCAGTTGTTAGCATCAAAGTTTTGGGAATTTGTTTTCTGTTTTAGCGCCAATTCCTCTGTTTTGCAGGGGAAGAACTTAGAACTAAAATCAATCTGGTGACTGGATTTCTAACATATGAAGGTTTTGTCATTTGTGTTCAGGTATGGAATAAGGTGCTAAAAGCTGCCTCTAAACATTTCAAGAAAAAGAAGAGAGATCCCATGGACCATGTGAGGCTCTCCAATTATCTGAGAGATGGAAATATTTGAAGGCTTCCCCCATTTGTAATTCTTTATTGTTTCATTAATTTATTTATTCATTTCATTGTCTTTTTAACCTGCATTCTCATTAACAGCAACATTATTGGCATTTGGAGTTAAACATTCCTCCAAACATTTGTGCCACTTAGAAAGAGATTTAATTGTATACATGGTTAGTGAAGTTAGTTAGAACGGATGTATTCTGCACTTGAGTTTAAATCCCTAATTACATAATTTAAATTAGATTAAAGTAGAAACGTAAGATTTACTCAAGCAAAGCAAACCGTGCATTCATAAAAGTCTGCACTAAAATTGTGACCCTGCACACAAAATCAACTGCTTTAATTAAAGCGTGCCAGCATAACTTCAATCAATCTTTCAAATGAAGCAGATGAAGACCCCTCATCACCAACAGCCGTCCTACACACTCCACTCATCTCCTGCACCTTCTTCCGCAGCTCATCATTACCGTCCATCACACACCTCACAGCCCTCTCAATCTCATCAGCCACCACAAAATGATCTACACCGTCCTTTCTGTAATTCAATCTCAGCTCCACAGCCACCCCCAAGTCCCTCACCATCTGAAACGCATTGATCTGCTGCTCCGCATACAGAGGCCAAGTCACAACAGGCACACCATGCCACAGGCTCTCCATTATTGAGTTCCAACCACAGTGTGACACGAAGCCCCCCACCGCCCTGTGGGCCAGGACCTCCACCTGTGGGGCCCACCCACATAAAATCCCGACCCCACTGGTCCTCTCCAAGAACCCTCGAGGCAGAAACTCCTCATGACTTGTGTGCTCCTCTGGCACCATAAACTTGCCCTTGGGCGGGTCTTTGCGTACGGACCACAAGAACCTCTGCTTACTCTGCTCTAAGCCAATAGCAATCTCTCTCAGCTGGGCCTCATCAAAGCTCCCAGAGCTCCCAAAGCAGAGGAACAGCACTGATTTGAAAGGCTGATCATCAAGCCACGTCATGATTTTGTCAAATTTGCTCTGATGATCAGAATGCTGCGCAGGATGCACGCCAATCAAGGGCCCCACTGTGTAAACAGGAGGGGTTTCACCATCCGAAAGAGAGCCAACCGCATGGGATTCGAGCTCAACAAATGTGTTGACGATTATACCCTTCGTTTCCTTGAACCTCCTGGCATGGTTTGCGAAGGTAACGTACCCGTCGCTGCTGAAAGCAAATGAAGGAATTACGCTTGCAGGAACAGGGTTGACATAACTCGGTACCACTGACTCGGAGTCCGATTCTTTAAACACCGTGCCGACTCGGTCGTAGCGGCTCGAAAGGTGGAGCAGGAAGCCGAGAAAGCCAGCACCAGAAGTGAAGAACAGAAATGATGGAACCTTGAGTTCGTTGGCCACGTCGATCATGGTGGTGCAGAACATATCAACCACTAAACCAGAAACAGAGCAACTGGGCAAGACATGGCTGGCTATGGCTTCTCTCACATGGTTCTTGTAGCCCTCTATGTAGACTGTGATGTATTTTTCCACAGACTGTTGAAGAAGCTCAAGTGGGCGGTTCACAGTGGGAAGGTCTATGATTTTGATGTGGCCTTGGGAGGCAGCAAGCGATTGTGCGCTGATGTTTGAGTTCAGAGTAGCAGAGGGTTCAAATGGCGGTTTCATGACGAGGATTGTGATTGAGAATCGATCACAGCCGTCCAATAATCGTTTCGAAAACTCTATTGCTGATACAAGATGGCCAACGGCCGGTGTGGGAACGAAAACCAGCTCTGCTCGCTTCATGTTTTGTGCTGCTTTGTTTGCTCACTCTGTTGCTTTCTTGATGGTGTATGTTTGACATACATTGAGAGCAGTTGAGGTGGATGAAGGATGATTGACGTCTTTCAATTTTATGTGGTGTAGGACAATTCTGAGAATATAAAAAAATTCCTTGTCAAAAAACAAAAGAGAGAGAGAAAAATTCCCAATGATAATGAGGCATGTTATGTGGGCTCACCGAATCTAAGATGATTGTTTAAAGAGGGATCCGTGATGGATAATGAGGCAATCGGTCAAACTAATCAACTGCATTCATCAATGATAACGAGGCATGTGATGTTGTCAAACTATACTAACATTCTTCCTACTTATCCACCACGGTGTCTTGTTAATTAGATGATTGGTTTGGTTGTGTGGTGTTGTTTAATTTAATTCATCGCATTCATCAAGCACAAGTAGCTTGGGTTCATATTAAAATTATTGGCTCCGGCTAGCAATTTGGGCTCACCGTGACAAGAGTCACGAGATTGATTTGTGGTCCATAAAATGCAGCCCCCACCAAAGGATGTGATTGATGACATTAATGTGCTGTGAAAATAATCGCTGTTAAATTTGTTGTGAGAGAAATCAGCTATGAGATAAAGTAATTTGACATTTGCTAAATTTTTTGTTAAAAGTATTGTTGATACTAATTCCCGCACAATCAAAATATGATTCCCGCATAATCATTAAACTTAATGTCTCTTCGAAATTGATTTACGCATAATCAGAAAATGAAAGTACTTCATTAGCTGTTTTCTCTCACATCAATTTTTAACAATAAGTAATTTTCTCATAGTTTACAAAACGGGCCGTGCTTCCCAAATTTTTTTTAAAATCACTTATCATTCCTAAGAAGCAATGTCAAACGGCAGGTAGTAAGGTAGGCATTTTGAACAAAAATACTGGAAAACTGCATTTACCGATCGCATTTTAACCGCATAACTGACATCGGCAAAACCCACCACAAAATTAAATATTATATTTATAATATATAATATACAATTCAAGAATTAAAATAAATAAATTAAAAAAAAAAGATAGCCATTTGTTGGGCATGCCAACACTCATGCATTGCTTTTGCGCCAAACCAAAGTCTGTTTTTTTCTTTCTTTTTTACTTCTTTTTCTTGTCCCTATTTTTTTCGACCTCTCTTTTTCTTTCTTTTTCCTGCTCCCTCCTTTTCTCTTTCTATTTTCCTACTTCTTCCCCCTCTGTCGCTTTCCATCTCTCAGCTCTCACTTCTTCTCTACCTCTATCTTTCTTTCCGTTTTCCTCCTCCTTCCTCTCTCTGTCTGTTTCCATATCTTTCTCTCCCACTTTTTTTTTTTCCCTTTTTTTTAGGCCTAGTTAGGGTGGTGGATTTTCTGGGATTGCTTGTATTGTTTAGGCCCAAAACAACCCAATCGGTGGATACCGTTGCGGACATTGACCGATTTGCAATTAACCTCAACTCTTTGGCCGGTTTGCGATCTCAAATAATGCAATACTGCGATTTCTCAGGCAGTTTGCGATTTACATGAAATTTTGCGGTTACAGTACCACATTCACCCCTAAGAGCACTTTCACCGCTGCGGTTTGGCTCGGATAGGAGGGGGCCCAAGCCCATGTCATGCCTCCAGCGAGCTTCAACAGTTAGGACAGGAGGTGGGTCCCAGCAAACCAGGCAAACCCATAAGCAAAAGAGTCCAAACTCGTGCCTGGGGGTAGCTGTCGTTAGCACCTGGGCTTTATATTTTTTACACGCCAACGATGAAAAAATTTGAAATTTCCATGTGCTGACGCTAGGCCAGGCTGGCGCCACCCCTGATTTCTGCCAATGGCTAGAAGCTACGTGGCTTGTCCGATCGTTACTTCTTCTTCCAATATTCTTCACTTTCCACACCAAATCTTCATACATTTTCTTTTCCTTCCAATATTATTCACTTTTTACACAAAATTTTCTTCACTTTCCAAATTTCATTTGTATTAAAATACAAATGGCATCTTCTATCGAAGCTAGAGGGGTGTGGACAACCATGGAAGATGTTTTGTTGTGTGAGTGTTGGATCCAAGTTGGTCGTTGCTCGATCACGGACAATAAGATGAAGTTCTCTTATATGTATAGAAAAATTCATGCCGAATTTTGTGCAAGGTCATGTTCTGCTCGTACGAAAATAGCCTTGGCTAGTATGTGAATTTTTTTGAATAAAGAGTTGGGGAAATGGAGAGATACATTGACAAAAGCGAGAGACAATGTTTGAAGTGGCGAAAATCTTGCCAACAAGGTAAATTATTTGTAATTGTCGTTTTATTAAATTTCATGTCTAATTTTTTTTCTTTCAATTTTTCTTGCATTTCAAATTTTTTATTATAAAGATTACGCAAGCATAAATGTGGTTCGATGTCATTGGCTAAGGCAAAAAATCTTTCAACAATCACCAATGTTGGGAGGTGGTAAAAAATTGTTCGAGATTCAAAATTATTCTTACGGGTCTGACCGCGTTGTCTTGAATGAGATCTCACTCCACGATTCAACAATATCAGATTTACCTTTGGATTCTCCAATGAATCAAGACTCACCAATCCAACAGGAGTCCAGGCCTATTGGGAGAAAGGCGCCGAAGACTAAGAGAGGGAGTAATTCCACCAATGATACTACAAAAGTTTTGGAGCAAATTGCTCTGAACGGCACAATGAAAATTGAGAGAGACATGAAAAGAGATGCGAATGAGAAGGTAATGTATAAAGAATTTACAGGAGAAAGGAAGTATGCACGCAAACAAGACATGGAGAAGAAGGATCGGGAAACCATAGCCATGGATACGAGCCATATGTCCCTTGAAATAAAGTCATTTTGGAAGCTACAACGAAGGGATGTTATGAGAAGAAGACTTTTCCGTGATGATGGACCTAGCAATACCGATTGGTTAAATGATGAAAACCATTAGGTTGTATTGCTTGTCTTTTATTTGATTAGTTATATTGCTTGTCTTTTATTTAAATAGTTGTATTACTTGCGTTTAATTTAATTAGTTGTATTTCTCCTGGACACTTGTAGTGCAAGAAAACTGTGGTTAGAAGAAAAAAAAAAATTTGTTCTCCTGGACCTCTATAGTCCAAGAAAATTGTGGTCAACCACCCTTAGATTAGATCTAAGGGTTGAGAAAAAAAAAACCGAATTAAAAATTATAATTGTATCATCAAAACTCTATTTTGGTTATTAGAAATAAGTTTAAAAAAAAAAACCAAACAACCAGCATAGTCATCTGATTGAAAAAAGGCAGAACTTTCCATCACCAGGTGATCAACTTCCACCATCTTCTTCATACAATGAAGAAGATCAACTTGCCCCTCCAACCTTCAGAAAATTCTAAGTAAAATCTTTTAAAAAAAGATCTCTATAAAAATTTTATAAAAAAAGGCAGCCTCACACCAAATGACAAGACCCGACCCAAATTCTACTTTGGAACCTGCGCCGAATCTTGTGTGTGTCCGACACCTAGTAGGTGCTGAGCACACTTGACCAAATTGTCCTTCTAACTAAGATTCGAAATTTGTTAAAACAATTTACTTATGCCGAAAATTAGACAGAGTCTCCTCTGTAAATTGCTCATTCCCAAACTTTGCCACCTGTACAACAAGCAATTTAAATATCCACAACTGTTCAGCATGCACAAAAAGAGAATTCATGCAACAAATATCAAATCTTTATGGCCTCAAGCCTCTTTATACCAAATAAGTCGTTTTGCCATCTGAACTAATCTCAACTTTTAGAACAACATGAATATGTTATCAAATTTCAAAATAACTTAACTGAACAACTTTTCAATCACTTCATCTTGCGGCTGCACTTGATAACTCTTGGTTGCCTATGTACCCTTACTAAGGGATCAAGTCATACGTAGTTCTTTCTCTTTGTTTTGTTGACAAGTTACATATTCAACCTTTATGTTTACCTCATATTTTGCAAAATCAAATGTGAAAAGAAATTGAAAAGGAAAATAAAATAATGAGAGGAGAATAACTTTTTAATTGGAAAAGATACACAAGGAGAAAAAGAACAGGTATATAAAATCAAATAACGACATGGTAAAATAAAACTTCACTCAAAAAAATAATTGTGAATTATACAAAATCCTTAAAAATTAGAAAACTCTTAATCCTTGTCTCTGAAGTAGGAAAACATATATTAAAACCTTCGCCCATAAATATCAAGATAAAATCCTCAATTTAAGTTTAAAACATCGCAAAACTTAAATACTCTCCACCTAGGCGTACACCCATTCATGATCCGTCAATTCCAATGATACTCCGTCAATTTCAATAATATTCCTTCAATTCCAATGATATTCCGTCAATTCCAATAACATTCCGTCAATTCCAAGTGTCACATAAGCGACACATCCTCGCAAGCCTAAAAAACACAGAGTCAATTCGAGTCACATTCCTCGCAAGACTCAGGAGACATTTAGTTAGCATGAGCAGCATTCCTTGCAAGACTCAAGGGACACCTAGTCAACCTGAGCCGCACATCCTCACAGAACTCGGGGGACATGTTGTCAGGCCGAGAATGCATATTCTCGCACCACACAATTCAGGCGTCCCCGAAACTCGTGGGGCATTGTTATAAATGCCAAACAAAATTGTTTCAAAGGTACCTAGGGGGTACTTCTGTGGTAGGTTTGAAAACTATATTCCGACACTTATCATAAAATTTCTCTTTTTCCACAAATCTGCTTTCACAAACCTATTTTCCAAATATTTTCTCAACTTCCCAAAATCAGTTCTTACATGGGTAGCCAAAATCCTTTCTCAAGCATAAAGCTTATAAAGATACAAAATATTCACAAACCTAAGTATGAAATCAAAGTCTGATAATCTCAACCATAATCTTGTAAACCCGTCAAAACCCCAAAGTAATTCAAATATTAATCAACACTTGTTTACATATAAATTCCATATAATACTATATTCCACTATTAAAACAATAGGCTTTCATAGATAACCAGATATCACTCAGTCATATACTTTAATAATAATAATAATCACAATAATAATAGATAAATAACAAGATAATCTTCGAATATCATAATAACACCCAAGAATACCATAAAACACAACATAAACTCAAAATCCAAACATAAACAAAATAGTTCACAAACAGTTAAGCCTCGTTTACTCAGTCGTTCTAGCACTTCTCAAAGGGTGAAACTACCTCCAAAGACTCACAGTCAACCGACGGTTAAACCTTCTAAATTGGGTCAACCGGGCCCGTGGGGCCCACAACCTCCCATTTTCAAACCGAGACTTCCTATGGGTTCAACAAGCTTTACAATACATGTCCTATAAGTTTGGTCTGAATCGAACGGTCGGATTGCTCACGATCGCACGATCAGATAGTTATCATTTATTTAGACTTTGAATTATTAAATCGGAGTATCCGAGACTCTGATTCTCAATCCGCGAAGTTTTACACATCCTAAAAGTGTCTAGATCAACATATTTTAAATTGGAGTTGATCAAATGGTCCGAACATATCGAAATCGGATAACGCATAATATGTGAAATCCGATCGACAGTCAAACGGTAACCAAATTGAAATCCGAGTATACCGTCCTGTTCAGGACTACGTGGGGATCATTTTAGGACCAAAGTCCAACCTTGACACCCTACCACCGCCGGCAGGTGTGTAGAGCAATTTTTTGGCAATCGGAAAACTCCAAACCGCCCTCCAATATTCATACCTACAGATCAAGCACGTCAAGGGGAGTAACTTTATATCTTGGCTTGAAGATCAATTCCACCGTTAAAGCCCTCGAAAAAACGGTTTACTTTTTGAAAAACCTAGAAAGTTTTAGGTTTGGATTTGACAATTTCTACTTGAAATTGGGTTGGGTCTTTAAGGGAAATCACATAGGAGAGGTAGGGGAGTGGTTTGGAAGTGATTTGGTGGCGGGTGATGGTCGGAAATGGCGTCGAAGTTTTTGTTTTCGAAACAGCCCTTTTTTGGGCTCTGTTTTTGATCGATTTTCTGGTCTAATCGCTTAGAATCATGGCTAAATATGGATATGTACGGAAAGATGAGAGAAAGATGAAGAGTTTGCAAGTTGTGGCATTGGATTTGATGGTCGAACGGATGAGATATCACTGTCTGAAGTTTGCTGTTTGTGGAGGAGAGGAAGAGATGAAGAAAGTCTAGGTTTTTTAAAAACTGAACTTCGAAAAAATTACGATTGTACTACTGGACTTCTTTTGATCGTAACTTCTTCTTTACAACTCCAATTTGAGCCCACTACGTGTCTACAAACTCATCTCGACGTGCTCTACGCAACGATACTACTCAAATCTCCAAATTCTTTCCCGAACAAAACGTCAACTTTTAACCCATTAAAATATTCTCGAGGTAAAATTGTCTCCCCATTCCCTGTCCCAGACGCACATCCCCCCGCCCATTTCTGTATGTTTGTCTCTATGACTCTCTATCATGTGGGATGGGTTTGGTGAGAAGAAAACTCTAGCACATCTAGCCACCTACCCAATAGCAAATTGCTTGTCCTCTTCGTAATGTCACCCCTCATGTCGACTAGATTGCCATCAACAGTGGCGGACCTATTAAGATGCAAAGAGGTACAGCTGCACCTCCCCTAGTAGAAAAAACTATTGTAAGTGCTTCAAATTGCATATTTTCTCAGCTGGTGGTGGTGCACTCCAGGTGTACAGTTACCTTATTTCCATTTTCAACATTTAAGTAAATGTCTTTGTACCTTTACTTTCATTTATTTTTATATTACTCTATTTACTTAAGTTTATAATGTAAATAAGGAAGTACTCCTCATTTGGATTCAAATAAAAATATTAGAAAATTAAATTCCGACCAAATCAAAATATGAAAAATCAGTTTTAGTGCAAAATACGATTTAGGCTAAAAATGATGGCTCATTAAGTGCCCGTTTGGTATTTGCTTATTTTATGTGATAAGTGATTTTTTAAAATTTTTGGGAAGTTCAGCCTATTTGGTAAATTATGAGAAAATCACTTATTATTAAAAGAACATCGAGCGTGTTTTCAACTGGATTTGGTGGCTATGAGCTTCGATAGATCCAAGAACATGTTATTTGTTTTCTCCATAGAGCATGTTTTCCTTTCTTTTACTTTTTGTTAAATAAAATTAATATAAAATGACAACATATTGATTTTTAAACTTTTTTTTTTCTTAACCATTAGATTAGGTCTCATGGTGGGTGACCATAGTTTCCTTGAACTACAGGGGTCCAGGAGAACCAAGTATTTAAACAAGTCCTACAATTTAATCTTTGTTACTAAACTGTTTAATTTCAATTTTTTTTAAATTAATAAAAAAGGTAGTGAGGGAGGATTAAGAATAAAATGTAGAGTCAATTTTCTTAGGCTTATTTATTGTAATGCCCCTTGAAACTTCAGTCAAATCTCACTTTACTCTCCAAATTTAAAGTGACCCACTTAACACCATTGATCGTGATTTTGTGTTCCACTTTACCCATACTGCTATCTCCATTAATAACTCTGTCAGTTTTGATGACATGTCATGGGTAATTTAGTATTTTTACAAGTGATGATGTGTCATGTGAATGACCCACCTTTTTTGTTTAAATTGAATTAAATAATGTAATTACTTGTTTAATTAAAAATCTATATAAAAATAGGGAATTTTAATAAATAAAAATCTATTTTCTTTATGCTTTAAAAATAAAATAAAATAACCTACCCAGATCCAACTCTCCCGAAAGATCAATCCCTATCTCCAAAGAATGGCCTCATCCTTCCTCTTTTCTTCTCTCTCTACAACCAATCATCGCACCATCATCCATAACCACCCCAACGCACCACCAGCCATACCCACCCCCATCCCCCCACCAGCCATATCGACCCCCACACTCCACCAGCCATACCGTCAAAGGACTCGTTGTACACGATCGAGCCCGAGACGTTGACGATGAGTGCTATCACCCTGTTGTCCCTTCTGCCGCCCTGGTGTACACCAACCCCTCGACGTTGGCTACTACTTGTTTTGAATTATTGTTTGAAAAGCTAGTGAT